AGTAGGAGGCTTGGGTTTCCCAGTGATGGAGGAAGCCAAGCTTTTCTACTCCCCTGGCCTGACCTGGCCTCTGCAAAAGGCTACAAAGTTTCAGTTAGAGAAGATAAATAAATCCCAGATACCAGGGCCTCCACTTGGGTCACAGGGCCTGCAAACCACCACAGGCCCCTCGCCCACTCCTTGCCTTAAGGGAACCCCCAGCCTGACCTGGAGCACCCTTTAGGGCAAACCATCCTGCCCCCACCCATACACCAGGCCTCTAATCCTATCTAATAAAAGAGTAATATGCAAATTGACCATCACTCCAACATACAAGATGGCTGCCCCCATTTGGTCAAAAATGGCTGCCCCCATGTGGACACAAGATGGCTGCCACAAGATGGCCAGCAGGGGAGAAAAGTTGAGAGGGACCAGGCCTTAAGGGAGGGCAGTTGGGGGTGATCAACTATAGGGGAGGGAAGTTAGGGGTGATCAGGCCTGCTGGGGAGAGCAGTTAGGGGCAACCAAGCCTGCAGGGGAGGGCAGTTGGGACAACCAGGCCTGTAAGGGAGGGCAGTTAGGGGTGACCAGCCTGATAGGGGAAGGCAGTTGGGGGTGACTGGGCCTGCAGAGGAGGGTAGTTGGTGGTGATTGGGCCATCAGGAGAGCAGTTAGGCACCAATCAGGCTGGCAGAGGAGTGGTTAGGGGTTGTTCATGCTGGCAAGCAGGCAAGCGGTTGGGAAACAGCAACCCTGGATTGTGAGAGGGGTGTCTGACTGCTGGTTTAGGCCCGATCCCTAAACCAGCAGTCAGACACCCCTCTCACAAGTCAGACATACCCTGATGGGGACCCAGATTGGAGAGGGTGCAGACTGGGCTGAGGAACACTCTCCCCCTCTCCCCAGTGCATGAATTTTGTGTACTGGGCCTCTAGTACTCTATATTAATAATTCAGAGAATGATCTGAAATTTTAATTTATTTAATCTCAGTGGTATGAAGAATTTTAAAACAAACTTATAAAATCCTCAATAAATGAAAGTCAAAGTTTAGTGACATTTATTTGAAGATAGGAAAGAAAGCAGATTTTAGATTGGTTTTGGTAATATAAAAGGAGTCTAGGAAAATAGGCAACTAAATTTCACGAGTTTGTTAGATATTAGGATTTATAATGGTTAGACAGTGAAAATGGTGCACTGGTTAGAGGAATGGGCTTTGGACTCAATCAAACATGCATCTGGCTCTACTCTTTCAAAATGAGTTATTCCAGGGCAACTTTAAAAAAATCTCTGTAAGTCCTAGTTTTCTCATCTGTAAAATGGTTATAAAAAGAGTATGTATTCATAAAACTTGGGAAGATCAACTGAAGAAATTCAGATAAAGTACCTAGCACAGTTTCTGGAACATAATGATTGCACAACCAAAAAAAAGTGATGATTATGATTGTCATTGTTAGTAATTTGAATTTTTGACTAGTTATATTTATTTCTTTTGGGTTTTTTTTTTTTTGACTAGTTATATTTGTATTTAATTTAGAAAGTTGTTGTCATCCATATTAATATTTGAGGATTGAAAAGTAAGGATTAGGTAATGATATAAATATTACATGCATTTGTAAATATTCCTTAATACTTTTCAAGTGAACTGATGCTTTTGAGTAAATAGGTGCTCCAGTAATATATTTTTCATGGTGAGCATTAAGTTCCTTGTCAATTTATATATATCTTATATTCCAAAATCTCAAATATGCAATTTTGCATGTATTATGTGTAAGACTTCAAGTGCCCTAATTTTATTAATGGTATTTGGCTTGTTTTTAAGTTTGGTCAGTGGTGCTATTGGCTCTCTCTGATGTCAAATAATGTTAACCTTTATTTGAAACTATTTTCTGTTGCTATTGAGATATAATGAAGACAGATAGAAACACATATTTGAAGTAATGTCCTTACAAGATCCTCTGTTGTACAAATCATGGAAGTACAGAGTATGAAAGATAATGCATCAATTATGACAATTGAGACACCTGATCCAATGTTCAATCAATCAATAACAGTATTTAATTTGATAAAAATTAACCAGAGTATTTAAAGTATTTGTCACTCTCTGTCCATTATCATTTAGTGATGACTATTTTAATAGTAGATTCATTTTGAAATCTTGAACATTTTATCTTGTGCAATTACTTGGTGAAAATAGGTTATGAACTATTTTGTATTTATCTAACTGATTATTTAAAAAATGTAATCATGTAAACTTTTGCACACAAACATTAAATTAGTTAAACTTCTGGTTGTTTTCTTAAAAATAGGAATATGGTAAACACCAGATAGAAAAACCAAAGTTAGGATAAGTATTATTTTCTGAGCATTTATATATTTTATCTTTCTCTTTTTTTCCCTACCACATTCTCTCATTGTCTTTATTTTTCATTTGGAAATGGTTTTGGTGAACTTAGCTACAAATTATGGGTTCCTGGCTTCCCAACATTCACAATTGATTGGAAGGGGAGGTGCTTTTTCATATAAATTAACTTTATTTTGCTTTATTTTAGTCCTAATATGATTGTCACTTTGCTTACTAGATAGATCTTAATATTTAGTCTCATTACTTCATGCATTTAGTCTGTGTTCTATAAGTGTTTATTGGTTGTACTGAATGTAAAAAACAATGTGCCAGTCCAGAAAGGGTTGAGCAGTGTAATGTGATTCTGTTTCTATACTCTGAGTTTGTCTTCTAAATAAGGAAGTGATTCATCCACTCAAATAATATGATATAAAGTCCCAAGAAATTAAAAAAAATTTAAAATAATTTTAGAGAAAGGCAGGTTGATCTGTGGGAAATTCAAATGCATTATGTATTCTTACAAGTTACTGCAAGATATAACCAACCTTTAACTACTCATCCCTGCTTAATATATAATAATGATTAAAAAAAATTCAGATTTGAGTGTAACATAAATTGCTAAATGATTCTGAATTTATTGTTTAAAATCAAATACTTTACAGGGCAATAATAGAGTCTAGTTTCAGGGATATAGACCACCAGTGGAACTTGAAGGTATTTAATCTTCAGAGAGCTCTATAAGAATTGTTCATTTAATCTTGTTATTGAAACTATTATTTTAAAAATGCTTTGATAAATTACATCAAATAAAAGCACAAGTCAACATGCACATTTGTCTTAAATATTACAAGATCTGATTTAATTATGGTCAATTTGGTAGGAGAGAGAAAACAACATAATTTCAAAAATTCACACAGGTCACTCTGGGATACATATTCTTTGACATGGCCTTTGTAAAATCTCTTCATAACTTTTTTATTTACCTTGTTCTAAGAAATATTTTTTAAACAAATTTCTATTTTCAATAGACTAAATCTTTAAACTACTCTCATACTTCTCTTTAATGTTGAATAGTTTTTCAGTGATTCTAACAGAGATGTGGCTAAAAACCAATAAAGAGATTGTACACTTGGTGAAGTCCGTAATAAGATCTGTTTTAAAATAAATTCTTACAGAACTGCTGGCAGAGAAAACAGATTTGAGAGCTTTGTGTTTTAGTTTGACCTTTCATTTTGGTGGCTCACTATTCTCACTTTCATCTCAGATCCACCAAAGCTAAAGCTATGTGTGTGTGTGTGTGTGTGTGTGTGTGTGTGTGTGTGTGTGTTTAAGTTGGAACATATTTAGCAAAACTTTTTATTTTTTCCCCTTTATAGTCTTGTTATCTGGATTATGTCAAAATATGTAAAGATATTGGTGAACTTCCCATACTAGAGTACACTTTAGCCTTTGACAGAAGTCTTCAATTCTTAATTCTTTTTAAAGAAAATATGTTTTTATGGACTTCAGAGAGGAAGGGAGAGGGAGAGAGAAATAGTAACATCAAAGTTGGGAGAGAATCATTGATTGGCTGCCTTCTTTCTGCCCCACACTGAGGATCAACCCTGCAATCTGGGCATGTGCCCTGACCAGGAATTGAACCATGACCTCCTGGTTCATAGATCAATGCTCAACCATTGAACCATTGCTGGCTGGGCTTAACTCAATTCTTAATGGAACAATGATATTCCCTCCTCAGTGGATAAGATAAAATAGCAGACCCAGAGAAGAAATTTGGGTATGGAAAGTTTCTGGGATGCTATGGAATCTCTTTGGTCATTTTTGCATTTAAATAGACCTCATCTAGAATTTCTCAGACATTAAATTTTACTAGGTCTGCTTCCTTATCACTAGGTGAAAATGGATTCACTGGGAAACTGTTTAAAAGACAGTTGCTCCCGTTCAGAGATGCATAGTCAGCAACAAAAATTCCCTCAGTTGAATCATCTGATTTTTAGAGTCTGACAGTTTATATTTTCACTGTTGTTAAAGAAAGCACTGAAAATGTTATTTCCTGCTACAGTCCTTCCTTCCTGTCCTAGTTATGAGCAGGAGATGCTAGAAACCATTGTACATGCATTATTTGTTTTCAACTCCCGTCAAGAAAGGAATGTTGTGCAAAGATCATCTGGAGTTTGTCTGACTTTGATAATGTAGTGCAGAGCCGTTCTAAAAATAAAGACAGGATTGTAGTGTCCATTAAGAGCAGCCTATTTCATCATTGTTGTTTTTCACTTGTGGCCTTGTGCCTTGTATGGTAGTTTCTATTTTCCAGAACAAGCTAAGAAGAGCCATTCTGTTTCTTTGGTCTGGGAATGCCGGTGCACAGAGTCTGTTTGTGAGAGGAAATATTTGGCTCATGCAAGGAGCCAGTGTTCTTCTGCAAGTGTCATGTCTGATACATGTAAGCAGTATCAGCATTCGTAGGCACTGAAGCTTTATAAAATAGTCTTAGAATATACACTGAAAAACAATACAAATTTCCTAAGAGCTTGGTAACTCTGTATGTGATAGTTAATTGATTTTTCTCTGCCATCTGGTGAAATTAAGGGGAGGACTCAAGCTTATTAGCAGTCTTATAATTCACTTCACATGTTATAATTTAGTTCTATATCTTGGTCTTCTCTGTTTCCTTTTTAGATACTAGCTCGGTCATGCACTGAAATCCTGGAATTGCATCCCTCAAGTGTATGTGTGGGGGGTAAGTAGTTAGAATTTAAAAATACCATGTAAGAAAATGTATTTTTTTTTTTCGTAGTTAAAATATATGATTTGAAACTCACATTGGAAAGAGAATAGCAAAATTAACTTTTTTGGCATCTTTGTCTGTAAGAATTTTTAAATAATTCCTTGAAATATTTCTATTTTAAATTCAAATTTTTAAGACTGGAGTGTTATTTTAAATAATGAACATATTGTGTGACAGGCTTTTAGAGTCTTCTGTATATTTAGTTCATGTTTGAGACCTTTCCTCTGACAAGTAAAATAAAATATGAAACTTTGTCTTTCATCTGATTATACAGGCCATCATGGATCTGTAGGTTTTTAGCTCCATGCTTTGATAACCAGGCCAAAGGCTCAGGGCACATAAGAAAGTGACTTAGGGCTTGATGGCAGGAAGGAAGCAGGTGGCTTCTTTAGCTGGTGCTAAGCACAGGCTCAGGTTTTAACACATCAAAGCCATCCTTACCCAGAGCATGAGTCTTTTTGGCCTATTCTATTTCTCACTCACATTTGGCCTGGAGTTCATTTTAACCTGACTTTACTAGAAAAGGGAAAATAATTTGGTGGGGGAGGACATGTGCTGTGACGTTGACCACCGGCCTCCCAACAGCAGGACATGGTGTTGACTTCTGCACCTTCTAGTCTCCTTAACTAATGATTACTGAGATGTTTAGGAGGAATAGTGCATTGGACCATCCCAGCAGTTTTATAATTCCCGATTCACAGATGGGGAAACGGGCAGAGACAGGTTTCGTATTTGCTATTAGTAATTGTCTTATTAGACCCCTTTGTCTGACTGACTCTAAAACCCAGGTCCTCTTTTTACTGAGTCATATTTTAATTATTACCTGCATTTTATTTTAACTTATGAGTAAAATTCTTTTTATGACCTATTTAATGGCCTGTGAGATGGCAGTATTTTCTTCCATAGTTACTTACTATGTATGTGTTAGATTATGTGTTAGATAGGAGGTGTCTGAGGGGATTGAGAGCCAAACACTATTAAAACAGTTATAATATATTATCTTGCAGCTAAGCAGCACACACTTATTTGCCAATCAAGATTTTAGGTGTTAACTTTTTTTCTAGCATGTTATTTCACTCTCTAGCATTAAATGACTGCTCCTGTTATATACATAGAGTACAATAAGTTACGTCAACTTAATTTAGTGACTGGCCATGGATTATCTGTAGTCCAAAATACTTTGCCTCTAGTGAGTTATAAATTTGTATTAAAGAAAAAAATGAATGTGGGATTAGTAATGTGATGAAGCTGTTCAAGAACTCTGTATGGTGTGTCATACATAAATTAAAACACAACACATGAAAGTTCTAAGAACCAAAGCACAGGGATCGTTAATGTTCTTTATATTCCCATACCTGAAAATAGAGAAAGACAAAGAGGTTTTATTTCTTCTCATATTTTCCTAAGCAGAGAATTTGGGGAAGTTTGTAGGGTATATAATATCTCCACTTTTCCCCTAAAGGATCTAAGAAAGCAAGGAGAGTTGAAACAGAGCCATGTCTTCTTTGTTATTAGTTGGCTGAATAGTGTGAAGAAATTCATTCTTTCTGCCTAGATATTTTCAAATTATGTCTTTTTTTTTTTTTTTTTTTTTTTGTAAAGCAGTGATTAAAATGTTTATTTTTCTTTTTTACTTCTAGAGGAATTTCAAATCGTTTTGAATGGAAGAGGATTCAACTTGGGCAGCCGCAATGGCAGTGTTCTCTGTACTTACACAGTGAATGACACCTACACCAAGAGTAGGTTCCCATCACCTGTGTTGTTTTTATATCAGCTGAGCAAGTCAACGTCAGATGTTTTCCTCTTTTCCCCAACTGAAACCAACAGTCCTATGTTTTTTAACAAAGGAAAGGGAAATGAAGTCCCATAATAACAGAAATAGTAATAATTGTTATTTAATGAAAGCAATGTTTGTTCACAGCTTCATAAATGTTGGATGCCATTCTGAGTAGCCTCATTATACAGATGATGGACTTGTGGCTGAAAGAGTCAAATAACTTGCCTGTGGTGACACAGTCAGTAATGCGCAGAGCTGAGAGTCCAACCCAGTTTTCCTGTCTGTGCTTTGTAGTGACTACATCAAATGCCTGTTTTGGCTGCCTCTTTTTCTAGATTTATTTCTTATCACTCTTGATTGAAAATCTAACTCACTTGGACTACTCTACTACTTATTGTCACTTGTTTTCTTCTTCTTTTTTTTTGAATATATTTTATTGATTTTTTACAGAGAGGAATAGAGAGTCAGAAACATTGATAAGAGAGAAACATCAATCAGCTGCCTCCTGCACACCTCCTATTGGGGATGTGCCTGCAACCAAGGTACATGCCCTTGACCACAATCGAACCTGGGACCCTCCAGTCCGCAGGCCAATGCTCTATCCACTGAACCAAACCGGTTAGAGCTATCACTTGTTTTTTTTTTTTTCCAATTTCCTAATAATTTGTCAATTAGGTTTTTGAGATAGGCTTTTTGTCCTATAGGTATTTTATATCTCTAGTGCCCACCCAGCATAGGGTTGATTGATAATTATTGTATTTATGGAGTTAGGCTTTATTTATCCTACTCTGGCTTTTAAAAGAGCAAATGAGTTTAATGTTTTTATCTTCATTCTGAGAAATATTCTACTTACATGATCTTAGTATTCTGAGCGTTTTGGGTTTCTGTTAAGACATTTTTTCCTCATTGATGATTATATGTCTTCTAAAATTTATACTGGAAGGCATATGCTACAACTCTGAACTCTGATAGAATTATTTCTTGAGAGGTTCATCTACAATTTTGCAGTTTATCTGATGGTACTAAACACTTCAATTAGCATAGCTTTGGCTGCACACACAGTAACTAACTGTTCAATATGTGTTTGTTGAATTAAAGTGGTGATGATCTCAGCATGATAAATGTCATAATGAATTACTTGCTTTTCTATTACAATCATCATTTTGGTAAGGCAAGACAGTAACTTATTTTAACAATAATAGTTTTTAACAAATTTTCTCAAAATTGATGAGGACAAATGAGGAGGACAGGCAGTTGGCCATATCTCTCACAATCCAGGGCTGCTGGCTCCCAACTACTCACCTGCCTGCCTGCCTGATTGCCCCTAACTGCTCCTGCCTGCCAGTCTGATCACCCCCTAACCACTCCTCTGCCAGACTGATTGACACATAACTGCTCCCCTGCTAGCCCGATTGCCCCCAACTGCCCTTCCCTGCTGGCCTGGTCACCCTTAACTCCTCCCCTTGACAGCCTGGTCACCCCCAACTATCCTCCTTTGCAGGCCTGGTCTCCCACATCTGCCCTCCCCTGCTGGCCTGGTTATCCCTAACTTCCCTTTCTTGCCAGCCTGGTTGCCCTAACTGCCCTCCCTTTTGGTCTGATCCCCCCCAACTGTCTTCTCTTCTAGGCCTGCCCCCCCCCTCCCCCAACTGCCCTCCCTTGCAGGCCTAGTCCCTCCCAACTGCCCTCCCTTGCAGGCCTAGTCCCTCCCAACTGTCCTCGCTTGCTGGCCTGTTTGCCCACAACTGCCCTCCCCTGACAGCTATCTTGTGGCAGCCATCTTGTGTCCACATGGGGGCAGCCATCTTGTGTATTGGAGTGATGGTCAATTTGCATATTACTCTTTTATTAGATGGGATACTTAGCTACATAAAATTAAGTATTTTAAAGTAAGTATTCAAACAAATAAGTAGAAATAGATTATATTTTCATCATTTCCATTCTAGGATTATCCATTTGATCATGTAATGTGTGAATATTTATAGTCTAGGTCATTTTCTCACATATTGTTAAAATTACAAGGGAAACTTAAGCATACAGCTTTATAAAATATAGGTTTTATATTATAGACACATCTGTTTTATTAAATGCTTGAAATAAATTCATTCTTTTTTGGACATTCATCTTTGTTTTCCCATCATTTCTAAATTCTGTTTCTAAATATATATACCATTTATTTAAAAAAAATCTAAGGTATTTGACAAATTGGGGAGTAGATGATAATTTCATGGGGTCTACAAATGTATGTGAACTTAGTCTTAAGTAAAAATGTCATGATTTATAATTTACTGAATCTATATATCAATGTAGTTTATAACCTCTATTTTTAATTCCTTTTTTTTTTCTCCTCTTTGTATAGATGAGTGTCTGTTTGTTTTTTTATGCTAGTATATCTAACGTTCCATACTTGAACTCTGATTGTCTTTGCCTTTCATATTATTAATAAAATTGAGATTCATAAAACTCTTTACCAAGTCTATGGCATTTTATTTTCCAGGTGTAAAGCCAATGAGTGTGGAGGGTAATTCTGTGCTTTGTCCTGCACCTAGCCTGAATAAAGTTGGAGAGTAAGTACTTCCTTAAAAACATTTTAAAACATTTAAGCTACCAATTATTAGGGAATGGTAACAGATGTATGATACATTGATTATTTTATGTATAGTTTGAACATGAAATAATAAACCTTAAACACACCACTCTGATTAGTACTTTACCTATACTCTTAGTTTAATAAAGTCCGTTATTTCTTATTTCTTAACTATTGATTAAACAAAAAACCTCTTTGAGAATTATTGTTAGAGCCTTTAAAAAATCAGAGCCACAGTCATTATTTTGAACTTTAGAATATATAATTTACCCATGTGCACATACACAAGTTCCAAAGTGAAATTTTGACTAATTGCTATAGTTTTTAGTATTAAGATTACAGATAAAAATGAAAATGGCTCATAAGGCACACCTCAGACTAGGAAATACTTTTGCTTTAATTTGTTTCTCAGTCCTGTGAAAGCCTATATTCTTCTGTTAAAAGAAGGGATATTTAGTTTGGGAGAAGACCTTTATTTGAATCACCTATACACAAGTAATTTTACTAGTAATTTATTATTTCCACTTATGATTTTTTATATTCTCTCTATTAAGAAGGGAATGATTGAAAACATTTAAATATTTCCTAGCCCAATAGTACTGGGTACAATATGCTTATGATAATGAATAGGATACACTTTTTTTTTTTAAGATCACTTTCAACAGATCTTGAACCTAGAGTAGAGGAAAGTAAGATATACAAGGCCCCAATCCAAATTCTGGATTGGTGTTCAAATAATGCAGATTATCTTTTTCTCTATGGAACCCAAGAGAACCATGTTAGTAGTTTGAAGTTTACTTGAGCTCTTATCTTCTGAGAATGCATAACTATTCAAGATATCTATTGAACATCACTTTGGGTCACCTAAGTAAATTTGGGCAGTATCAGCTGTCTCTTTTAAGTTGATTGAAGAAGTATAAGACTATCGGACTCTTTTTTTCTTTCTATAAAAAATAGTTATTTTCTGTGTTATATAATAATCTAGTTTCATGGATAACATGCCCATGGCTGTGTATCAGACTGTGGCTTGGAATTTGAAGCAGATCCATTTTTCCTAGAGCCAGCTTAGCCCCAAGTTCACAATAAGACTCCACAACTTTCTGAGTAATCATATCTGTGTTAGCAGTGATACATGTAAGGACTTAATGTTTGGTTTTTATTTTAACAAATCTGTAATTCCATATAGATTCTCCTTGTCATTCTTCTCCATCTGCTCCCGTTTCTGTCTTAGTCATTGGCAGTTCCACGTTTTTGTGTGGTTCAGGTTAAAAACCTTTGATTCATTAATGATTTCTCTTACATGCAGGCCATCAAAGAACCTCATTAGCTCTAATTCCAAAATATGTTCGGAGTCCAATCCTTCCCCACTTCCTCTACTGATGCCACCCCAGACCAAGCTACTTTCATCTCTTCCTTGGTTTATTAGCCTCTCCGCTGGTTTTTCTGCTTCTGTTCTTGGCAGTAGTGATCCTGTTAAAGCACTTAAAATTGTCCATAATGAGTTCCCCATTCCACTCACCGTGAAAGTCGAGTGACTGCAATGTTTTACAAGGTTCTGCAGGATCTGGCCCCTCCTATGTCTCAGACTTCATTTTTTTCCCCTTTCCATTATGGTCACACTGGCCTCTTTGCTATTACTTAACTATGTCAGCTTACTCCCATATCAGTACTTTTATACTTGCTGTTCCCTCAGCTTGAAATGCTCTTCCCCACATGGTTCACTCTCTCACCTTCTTCGTCTTATTCAGAGGCCTTCTTAGTAAGCTCTTCTTGGTCACCTCATGTAATCATACAATCTTATTGTGTCTCCTTCTTGCTAGGGTAAATTTTGTTTGCCTTGTTTCTCGCTGTATCTCTAGCATCATACACATGCCTAACCTACAGTAGACTCGCTAAATATTTGTTACCTGAAGGGTAACAAATACTTTGATTTACTACTTATATAGTTAAAAGAGCTCATTTGGTTGCTGGGAGCAGTGCCTCTACTGGGTTGGGGAAAAATGATCAGATTCCTATATTGGAAGGAATGCCATTTAAGAAAGCAGAAAGCTATCTTGGATTTTTAAAAAAAACATTTATATCCATTTATTTGGGAGCTTGCTTTGCCTGTAACTCACAACTGATAAGGCACATTATTACAAGATCATGGGGGCTGAGGTAGAGAGACCAATATGAGATCCTGGTGAAGGACAAAGTGAGAACACTTCTTGTTCCTTCCTCCCTCCCCTGACTCCAGCAGCAAAGAACCACAGGTTTCAAAGTCCAGCTGGCCCCCTCTTCACCCCACCCTTGTTATCAAGCTCCTTTTAAAGCAACACATCTTTAAACATTAAATTCTTCTGTTTTTGTTTTGTGTATTTTTTTTTTTTAAATCATACGAGTCCAAAAAACAGTGCTTGGGAATTCATTCTCAAGAATTCATGTAGAACAGGTGGCCTAGATTAAAGCCTTGGCAAGATTCTTGGCCAAGTCAAATAAAAAACCCAGCAGATCATGCACAAAGGCAACAGTTCTGGTGAGAAATGATGAGTTACTCCTGTTGGCTACAGGATCCCGGAGTTGGTCAGTTTAGGAGCCAAGGTCCTTCTGTCCTTGAAAGTATGAAACCAGGTCTGGGCCAGCTCCATACTGCTGCTCTAGGAAGCAAGGACAGCTACAGATAATTGAAACACACACAAGAAAGAAACCCTGTTTATGTTTCATTGAGTAACAAGGAGCTCAGAATAGTCTGTTGTATTTATTTGCCTCTTGCCAAGCCCAGAGCTGCCTCGGGAGAGGATGCCGATGCCGACTGTCCTTTCCCAGAGTGCCTCTTTTGCAAAGCGATAGGCTATTGTGACAGGTGTTTCTTCTGTTCCTTTTTTGTGGATGACCTGCCTCGTCCATAAACCATGGGAGAGAAGCTGACAAACTGCTTAGAACGTCTGTGTACAGTTCAAGTGCATGGTGATTTCTGTAATGCTCTTTGTGTTCAGACACCTCAAGATTACCATATAGGTTAGGTTTCCTCTCGGTTGCGTGGCCTGGCAATTAAGCTGATTGCAGACAGACTATTAAATATGAATGGAGCACACTCTGTATGCCATGGGTACGCTCTGGAGAAACTCTCATTCCTCTGGACAATGCAGGGCCCTTGACTCACCTGAACCAAATGACCATCAGTACATGTTCTAATCTGTGCTTTCTGTGTGTGAATCCCTTCTCCCTCCTGCCAGGAGAATGGATGCAGTACCCCCAGATGTGCCCTCTGAATGTTTTTCAATTTGTCATTTGACAAGGATAACTGAGGAATAATGATATTTTATCTTTTAATTCTTTTTTTTAATTGATTTTTTTATAGAGAGGAAGGGAGAAAAATCCATCAGCTGCCTCCTGCACACCTCCTACTGGGGATGTGCCTGCAACCAAGGTACATGCCCTTGATTGGAATTGAACTCAGGACCCTTTAGTCCGCAGGCTGACACTCTATCTACTGAGCCAACCTGATCAGGGCTATTTTATCTTTTAATTCTAAGAGGAAAACTTGGTTTGGGGTTTCTTTCTTGTGTTGTGTTTTGATTATCTTGGATTTTTAATAGTAGTGTCTACTTAAGGAAAACACCTTATTTTCTTCTCTAAAGTAATTATAAAATGCAATATGCCTGGTCTGTCCCAGATACTGAATGAGCTTTCTTTAGAATTTGCCTTTGGGCATAGCCTCCATTTGAAGAGACTACCATAGAGACTGCTGATAGTCTCAATGACTTATAGATAGGCTACCTTCAGGAGATGTGATTTTTAAAGATCATATAGAGCATAATAAATATCAGACATGACAGGCCATCCTCTGTTTGGCTTGTGACACTAATATTTCACCTACAAGCAAACTTTTAGGGAGAGATTGTTTTGGGAAGAAGCTTTGTCTAACATAATTACTTTTGATCTTCTTTTTCTTTTTTGAAATCAAGTACATAATGCCGCTGAGGCAAAACTTGAGAAGATGCTATTTGCGAGTGTATTAGGTATTTAGGGACATCATTATTTTTTCTACTAAGTATGTTGCAAGTAATTTGGAGCTTTCCTTTGCCTGGACTGTTCTTCAGATGCTTTTGTAGCTCTCTTCTGAGATTGGATTAAAATCAACACAGCTGAAACACTTTAGTTTTGTAAGGTGACGGATGCTTAATACGCTTACTTAATTATCTGTTGGCTAAGGTTTCAAACCCATTAAGTAGCTAGTTAGTCTATATTTCAAATGAACACATCTGGCCCAGCAATGAATGAAGGTTTTTCCTGTGTGAGGGTGACAGATGTGGTGATGGTTCCCCCTGTTCCCACACTTAAATAATTAACAAAAGGCTGGTGAAGCAGCCTTAGACAGACAGTCTCAGAGCCAGATGTGTAGTCTTAGTGTTGGATCCGTGGGCATGTGCCTCATCTCATTAGCCTTTCTCAACTTTGTGTTATAATTCCTAGAATTACATTTGTTTTAGGACTTTTTGTTGAAAACCCAGGGCTCGTGAATTTTCGTTTGAAAGGGGGTTAACATGAAATTGTTGTCTTGGAGATGAGAACGAAGGATGTAGCAGAGTAGTCAGGACATAAATTTACATTCGGAAATTGATACAGAGTGAACAAACGTTAAAACCACGTGGGCACATCTTATGCAGGTATATCACCAGTTAGTCTTGTTGAAATGGTTCTTTGAAGTACTTTCTTTGAGAAAAAATATTTTATTAATTGTCTTTATTTGATAGAAATTTGTAGACTGAGTTGAACAAATTCTTAATATTTAAACAGAAGGTATGTGAAGGTGGGAGTAGTGAGGTGGTTCTTTTAGATTTCTTTCATTGGACACAGTTTAATTTTTAAAATGTCACATGATTAAACAAGTTGTCTTACCAAGAAAACACTGGAGATAGTTTGGAAGCTTTTTTCCTGCCAATGTTCATTTGCACCAAAATGTCTTAGTTTGAATAGAAAGGACTCCGTGAAGGTCTT